CAGGGCTGCTCTCAGAAGGTAGGGATAAGCTGTGACTGACCAGAGGGTGAAGGCAGGATGTGCACATAAGACCCAACCTCAGCCAGGATGTGTGTGTTCATGCTCAGCACCACGGGTGGTGGTACCCGTGCTGCCAGAGGAGAGAGAATCCATTGCACCCTGTGTGCATGTCACCAGCCAGGTCTGCCCTGTGCCCAGCTCCTGGAGCCAGCACCAAACCAGAGTCTCGTGGCCACAGGAGCCATGTGCCAAGCCCAGGTTTATCAGCCAGGCTCCAGCCAAGCCCTAATGGCAAGAGCATCTTGTGATTGCACCACTTTGGAAAGCAGGAGGCCATTTTTCTGCACGATGCTGGAGTCTGGAGCAGCATCTCTGTCCTGTCCCCCATTTCCATGGTGCAGGGGTCCCCTTAACACAAATTTGTCACACAGCCATTGCTTTGGGATGCAGCCAGCTAATTGTAGGCACCCAGTTAACTTAGCATGGGTGCTTGGGAGCTGCAGGTGGTGGTTATTGGACTCCTTATTGGACCCTTTTCTCCGCACCTCATTTGTGGTGTGGCATCTCACTGAGAAGCCACACAAACCCAAAGGCTTCAGGACGGGCCATGCACAAGACAGAGCAGGAACACGAGTGGTGTCTCTGTAGGGTGTAAAGAAATCAGCCGCCGAGCTGAGGAAGGTCAGACACAGGAGTCCTTATCTCCCTTCCCGCAAATAAGGATCACGAGTAAAGCACTCGAACATCATGAGCATTATGAGAGGCAGTTAAAAAAACATGAGCCGATGGTGTTGTCTATAAATAAATAACACGTTCTGGGGTTTCATTCTCAGCCTTATGGTTTCGTGCCTTTAGAATCTTGTATTTTGTGTTCTTTTTTCTTTTTTTTTTTTTTTTTCTCTGCATTGAGAAGGGATAGAAACATATTGTTCTATTTTTTAATATTTTTTTAAAAAATGCAATTGACAATCTTCCACAATCATTGGATTCCAGGAACCCAAGCTTTAACACCCCCCTCCGCTTTCTCGTCCTCCCCCAAGAAGCATCTTGAGCCTAGTGATAAAATCCAGGCTTCAGCCAGTGTTGGGTGGGGTATCTACGAGGAAGGTGGTGTTGACATTTCCCGAGGCCACATGTTAATTGCTTTCTATCTCTTCTCTCTAAAAGTTCCTTTGGGTCCCAATGGGTTTGAATTCAGTGGTAAACATTTGCGTGGCGTGACTTTATAGAACTTCATACGCCGCCTTTTGCTGCAGAGGTGGCAGCGTTTCCAGGCATGGAGGGGCTAATCTCTGCCAAGAGCGTATGTGCTTCCCATGCTGAAATGCTTTTTGGGACTTGTTTGGGCAAAATACACCTTAGTATTTCTAGAAAAGCAAATGTTCATGTATGATCTCTACTGAGGGCGGCGGGTGAAGAAGAGGATGAGCTGTGAGACAGTAGCAGGTAGCCCCGAGCTCCTTTGGAAAGCACAAGGAGAACATGAGAAAACGTCATGGGGAAAGTTTATTGCTAAACAAAACACCTCCGGGTTATGAAGGAGGCTCTGCCAGATCGTAGCTGCCATATGGCATTCCAGGTTGTCTGAAGTGGTTTCACGCACTGCATGGGAGTCTGGGACCTCTTCGGTTCTGGCTTTGACTTTACCCCAGACATCCTCTGCCTTGGGTAAAGCACTCGGAACCACTCTTTGGCCTCATTATTTTTTTTACGAATTATCAGGGTTGGCGTAATCAGGTGCAGCTCCATCGTTGTCGGTGGGGATGCTGCCCGCTTTGGTCCTTGGCCCAAAACGCTGCATGTAGCTGTAAGTATGGCAGGAGGATCTCTACGCAGCATTCAGAGCTGGACTGCAGCCCACCATCTACTCTGTGTAGCTCCCTCCCTCAGTCCTGCTTGCTCTGGTTTTCCTTTTATTTGTCGTTCAGCCCTCCCTGTCCCTCTCCTCCCACCGACTGCCCTCTTCATGCCCTGTTGGGTCCCAGGCTGGTCCCATCCCTGCATCTGCTGGAGGTTGCTCTTGGACCTGGTGAGCAGGAGCTGCCTGTTCGTGCCGGGTTCACACCAAGTGTCAGATCTTTGTGGCACCAAGTGGCAGATCTTTGCACTCCCTTCTTTTAATTGTCTGTTTCCGGGAATAAAGGAAAAAAATAGCCCTCAGCACTCTGTGTGGTGCCATTAACTGGCCGCAAAAGTGTTTTGCCGCAGAGGGGCTGGGTGGTCAAGTGGTTGGAGAACAAGATTGGAAACCATCATCTCCCAAGTTTCCAAACTGTTATGTCAGTGAGCCTCTCCGGGGCACGATGCTTCACCCCGTGTGTCTCTGTTTACTATCGATAAAAGAGAGCTATTAATACCGCTGTGCTTCAGGGTGATCTTTTGGACCACAATTAATGTTAAAACCCTCTGAGATCACCGGTTGGAAGGAGCTAGAGAGGTGCAGTGGGCTGCGTACCACCGGGGCTGCCAGCTCCCACCAGAGCTGAATGGGAATGAAAAACTTTCCTCTAAGGTTCTTGAAAGAGGACTGGTTTCAGGTGAGGTAAAGCCATTTTTATCTTTTTTTTTTTTTTTTTTTTTACCTCAAGAAAAGGATTTTTGACCAGATCAAAATCACATTGATTCTGATGGGTTTTCTATTTATGTTTTGAATTTTTTTCCTATGTCTTCTGAAAAAAAATAATGAAATAAAGGGCTTGCTTGTTGATGTATTTCTTAACCCAGACCTGACCACTACGGACGCTCTTGGTCTTGGCAGCTGGGTGACTTTGTGTGTGCTGGGCAGAGGGGAAAAGTGCAGTCGAAGGGCAAATGCAGGTTTTTAACATCGCCCGAAGGGCTGGATGTGCTTTAAGACCCTGCCAAGCTCCCTCCTGACCCTGCCGGCGGTGGAATAGGTGATGTGGGCACTAATTGCCGAATATTACAATTGCGTTTTGATAAAAGTCTGCCGTTTTTCAAGGAAAGTGCTCTGGCACCGATTGCCCGGGAGCTAATGGAGCCTTCCTGACGGAGCGGGCAGAGCAGAGGTTACGCATTAGCTCTGCTCACCCATTTAAAAGCAGAAAAACACACCATCGCAGCCGCTGTGGCTGAGCCGGTGACCCCGGGATGGGGATGGAGCTCAGCTCCCAGCAGTAACCTGCTTGTTAATCCCTCATCCTGCTTTGTTGTGTTTGTGCTGATGAGCAAGACCAGCGTTGGGGTTGCTGAGGTCCTAGCTGGGTGGCAGGACTCCAGGGGTCTCTGCCCAGCTCTCCCACTGTAGGGTTCCTCATCTTGCTGGGGCTGGGGTCCCCCCACCCAACATTGGGTGCCTCTATTGCTGTTGCTTTTCCAGACCTGGGAAGAGGGGGATTGATGCTGCCAAGCTCCAGAGACACACACCGTACCCGCTCCCAGCAGGAGATTCCTTCTCACCATGAATGCCCCCTCTACTGAAGGGGGGATGAGGGATGGTGGCACCTCCAGGGTGGGAAGCGAAGGCCTGAAGTTAGACTTCCTGCCCTGAATTCAGTCTTACCCTATTGCTCTGTCGCTGTCCCTTAATTATAGCGGGAGAACAGCCTGTGTGTGGTACTTGTGAAGTTGCACAGTTGCGGACGTCCTTCCTGAGATGCTCCCACTCTGAGCAACGTTCCTGGTAAATTAAGGAAAATGATGTCATGCCAAGGAATTAAATAGCATCTCCTTGGGTGAGCTCAGCCTGTGCGTCCCCTGCCTGCCCCAGCTTTGTCAAAATGGGAGTTGTCCCTCCACACAAGTGGGTTCCTTGGCACGCTGGCATCCTTGCAGACGGCAAGTATTGTTAAGGAACTAACGCTAATTGCTCGGGGAGGATATGTCCTGTGCTGGGAATTGCTACCGGGCAAATGTCAGCTCTTATCAGCTGTGTGTGGGGTGTGTGGGGCGCGCAGGGCCTCAGGGAGGAGACGGGGGGGTGCTGGTGTGTGGGGTGAGGAAAAGGGAGGCATCGCTTCTGTCCCCGCTGGGGCTGCTGAGGAGTTAGGACCATTCCTTAAGTAAACATACCTCAGGGTCTCAATCCCATTTAAGCTGCAGCTGCTTTTATGGGACTCATTGAACTCTCTTGCAAGAGCTGCTGGGTTTTACCTTAGGATAAGGAGCGAGGCTGTGTTATTTCCTGGGAGCTGGGTACCCCACCACCAGGCATCTCGGACCTCCAAGGGGTTCAAGCCAACTCCTGCACTCTGTCACAGCCAGCTCGGGTTTCCATGCCTGGCTCAGAGTGAATAAATACGAACTGATTGCCTTTTGGGAGAGTGGACCGAAGATTGTCGCCCCTGCTGCGAAGAGCCTTCTCATTTTGGAGCTTTGATATTCTGACCAGGACTCTGAGCTCAGCATCCCGGGATGTCCCATGCAGCCACAGCCTGTTTATTCAATGTTTCATCCGGCACAAAAGCCGTATTTTACTGTCAGATGCTCTCCATTAGCTTCAAGTGTGAAATTATCATTCCCACCCTTTTACCGACCCCACCCTGGTGAGGAAATGAGGGAGAAAACAACCTCAAGGGCCGTTCACAGGATGTGTACGAGCTGTCACTTGTCAGCACAGAGCCCGCTTACGGCAGGAATTACTGCTCCGCTCTCCGGAGGGCCGGAGAGGAGCCCAGCTTGCAAATGCCACAGCATTAAAATGTGTGCATCGGTGCCTGGCAAAGCAGCCCCAGAGATGTTTGCGTCCTTTTGCAGTCGGGGGGCTGCAGGGTATGGCCCCTCAAGGCTCCCAGGGGTGGTGGGGGGTGATGCTGCATGGGGACAGAGTGGCCTGTCCCCCCAGCCCTGGCTCCTTTCCCTAAGTGCTCTCCTGGTCTAAGCCCAAGGTCGTCTCACCATCTCCTTGAGATGCCAAAATGGCCTGATAGGAGCCTGGACCACATTTTCCTTTCTCAAGTGAAGACCGGTTCCCATAACAACCTGACGGTGTGGGACTGAGGGATAAAGACATTATTTCCCTTTTCCTTCCTGCCTTCCAGATTCACCCTCTACGCGGTGGATACGCGAGGGAGACACTCAGAGCTGAGCACGGTCACCCTGAGGACAGCCTGCCCGCTGGTCGATGACAGCAAAGCAGAAGGTCAGTCTTCAGGCACCCCATTTTCCACAAGAGAAGACATTTCCTGCTAGTTCTGCTTTTCTCCTATTCCTCGTACTCCTGCAGGCCTGTCCAGCCCCTCTTCTCCCAGGGTGAAGGCTCCTGTAAATTCACCCACGGGCGCAGGGACATGAATCTGGGGAGGGGTGACAAATTCCAAGAGTTTCCAGTAAGACAGTCCCCTGGGCTGGGCAGCCAGTGTCTCCCATGGTCCTGTGCCACCCAGCGCCACAGCATCCTTCCCCGTGCGTGGCTGTGGGAGCTGATAATGAGTGTTTGATACATATTTTCTGGGAAAAGAGCAATCTCTTCTTGCAGAAGCAATGGAGGCTGCCCTCGCTGTGCCGGGGCAGTGAGTGTTGGGGTCACTGTCACCTCCAGGTGTCTATAAGGATGCTGGTGGCAGCTGGTTGGGTTCTGAAATAGAAACACCGGTAAAAACCCAACCACTTCTGCACATTTGCACTTTCCAGTTGCGAAACCAGCCCCGTTCCTTCTCACACCCAGAGTGCTTTGCTGCTTTTAAATTTGAAAGGATTCCTCTAAAGGAAAGGCGGGTTACCTGTTTTCTTGGTTTGCTTTCTATTTTGAAAAGCACGCAAAGAAAGTTTTCGTTAATGCTTTCGTGTTACTGCTAAGCATTCCCAGGAAAAATGAGCAAACGGGAGACTATAAGAAAAGGAAGGAAATGGGATTTTGTGCATTTTTCTTCTCCAGAAAGAGATCCTTTTCTACAGTAGAGAGTGCTCCCTCTTGTTTAACACATCTCAGCTGCTCCAGTAGATACCCATAATGCAGTATTTGCTGTATTTGTGGCTCAAGTACCATGTTGTTACCAGCAGTGTGATACTCTTCCTACACTTTAGCATCAGCAGATTGATTTTGCAATTGCTTTTGGTTTGGTGAATCTGGGAAGAGGTTGCCTGCCCTACCTGGGGGGATGAGGCTGCGCCTGCCCGTGCTGGCAGCCTCATCCCCTCCTTCTCCCCTTCCTCCATGGAGTATTGCTGGAGTGTTTGTGGCTGCTGCTTTGGGGCTGCTCCTGCAGGGCACTGGCTGCAGGATTAGCCCGAGGAACTGCTAAATGCTTCCCGGGTCACTAAACCCTGCCGCTGGCAGCCCCAAGGGACTGGCAGCCATCCCAGACGCCCGCCCCTCCTGCCAGCCCTGCCAAGGGCTTCGCTCCTCCTCCTCCTCCTCCTGCCTTAGCACCTTCTGGCCGTTCATTAATCCCGTCCCCCGTGATCCTTTCCAGAGATAGCTGACAAAATCTACAACCTCTACAACGGCTACACCAGTGGGAAGGAGCAGCAGACGGCCTACAACACGCTGATGGAGGTCTCGGCTTCCATGCTCTTCCGAGTCCAGCACCACTACAACTCCCACTACGAGAAGTTTGGAGACTTCGTCTGGCGCAGTGAGGACGAGCTGGGGCCCAGGTACCTGTCCCTTCCCTGCATCCCCCCCCCAGCCCCACCACCTGGAGTACCCCTCTGCTTGGCCACTGTGGAAGTCAACCTTGTTGCCTTCTTGTAGCAGAGACAAGTCCCCTTCTGGTGTTCACCAAGTGGTCCTGCCATCCCCTGAGACTGCCAGGTCCCAGTTGGTCTTTGGATAAATGTTTATGGGATATCTAGCAGCTGGGTGGTCTTTGGATGGATCCTGGTGGGACATCTCACAACCAGCCTGGCCCAGGCAGGTGATACTGCAGATGAGCTGAGTGTGTTGGCAAAGCTGGGGAGTGAGGGTCAAAGGATGCCAATGAGTGCACAGCACCACAGCTTTTACCTATATGCAGATTTATGCCAGAAATATTTCCTCTTTACTATACATCCGATGCTCTGAGGAGGGCTGGGAGAGGAGTGTTCCTGGGAGTTACAAAGAGGAGCCTTTCCAGAGGGACTGCACCTGCAGACCCCCAGTGTACAGTGAAAGGGGTGGTAGGACTCTGAGAGAACACAGCTCAGGAACAACAGATTCATGGACTACCTTGCATCCAGGGGGCTGGCAGTGTCCCGGCAGTGTCCTGGCAAAAGCCAAGCTGCCACCCAGCCCCTTGGGAAACTCTCAGCAAGAAATGCTCAGAAGTAGCCATATCCTCCTGGGCATCTTGAAATCTCTTCCAGGATTCAAATTGCCTTCACCTGCTTTTAAGCTTTTAGGGCTTTAGATATTCATCCAGAGTCCTATCTAACATGTTGTTCTCTGAGAAACTGAAGCAGAGGAAGGTAGAGAAATAGGGTTTTGCAGTCCATTAATAATTGGAAAAGGTTTTCCTTCTCTCCCTCCTGCTCCTATCTGCTTGTTGGACATGGCTGAGGATCTGCCTGTACTACCAGGATGACAGCTCCTCACAACAATTTACACCCCTCCTGGACATAAATCCAAGCTGGTCTGGGGCTTGCTCTCCTCCAGAGATGACCTTGGTCATAGTTTCTTTGGTAGTTCATTAGCCTCTGGCAGGGAGCCACTCTCCTCCTTCCCACTGCCCTCCTCCTCCTTTGATGACACTGCAGACTTGTTTGTCCTTTTCAGTTGCTCCTCTATAGATCCCTGGGAACCATCAGCCTCTTCTCACACATCCCTATTTCCTCCATTATTTGAGACCCAGCACACTTATTGAAGGATGCCATCTAGCCTGATACCTACATCGAGCCATGAGATTTGCAAGGTGACATTTAAAGTGCCCCACTCTGTACCAAGCTACATCTGGAGTCAGTGGTCGATTCGGCTGCTGCCTGTCTTCCTCACCGAGCCAGATGAGCTCCTCGCAGTGCTCAAATGCCCCTGCTCTGTGCTTGGGAAATAGGTGACTTACAGCCAAGGAGAAGCATCTTTAAATGCCGTGGCAGCCGGTGCCAGGCTCTGGACAAGAGCAAAGCTCTGCCGTCCAGCCTGGCTTCTCGGGGAGCTTGGACAGAAACAGAGGCACTGATGTAGCGGGAGGGGAGTGAGGCTTTGCCAAGGGAGACCATCCCGTGACACGATTTTAATTGACAGACTGTTCTCTTTCCCAGGGGGACATTCATTTTCATACCTTGAAATGTTTATCAGATGAGCCTCAGCTTCACAGTAAATGTCCGCTCATAAAACTGAGCGACAAGAGGGAAGTTGATTGCCTCCATGTAATAAATACATCACACTGGGGTCCTCGTGAGCCCAGTTTCCATGAAAGCCACAGGTTACTGCAAACAGCTGCTTGCGAGAAGACACACTGACAGCCAGATGTCCCAACCAGACGGTTTACATTAAGGAGACATTAAAAACTTAGCTCATAGGTGGCCCTAAACCAGGACTTTCTGTGGTCAGCAGCATCTTGGCACCTGGCTCGCCTCATCCTGCTGGTCTCCTGTAGCAACAACAGCCCCTTTCCTGCTCCCCCCATTCCTCTTACAGACACCGAGCGAATCTCGCAGAGTTAATTTGTTCCAACAAAACAGAAGAATCTGTCTAAACCAGTGAGGGTTTAATGCTACTGTGCATTCAGACCTCTGGATCCGTGCAGCCAGAGCTCTTCCTGACACAGCGACGGGGAGATTTCTCTATTATTTTCTCATACTATATTTGTAGGACAATTCTTTCGACCACTGCAAGCAGGGCCTGGCTTTTAGGAGGAGGCGGGACAAATTAAGTTAAAAATCTTCCTTCCGTGCCCCTACTTGTGGCTACCACCAGCAACAATAGGGTCAGGATGTGGCATCAGCCCTGGGCTCGCAGCCTTTCCCTTGCTGAGCCACTCGCCCAGTCAGGCAGCTGGGACGGCCACAGGAGACCAAGTGCATCTCCAGAGCAGCTGCCTTCTGGTACCGAGGGGGAATGCAATGTACTGATGGGAGACTGTGATAAGAGGCCATCGAGTCCTGGACTCATTGTCCTTTCAGATGAGGGTCTAACAGACCCAGGTCACTTCTCAGCAGAGTGGAAAAATCTGAATTTATGACAAAAAAATCACTCCATGTGGGAACACAGCAGCCAGGCAGCAGTCCTGGGAAGCTCGTCCTTCCCTCCAGCCCAGGTATCATGTCTTCTTTGCTTCTTCATGCTGGTATGTTCTCCTGTAGCACCTTCCTCCTCGGTGAGATAGGGCAGTGTTTTGCTGGCTCTGGATATGTTTTCCTCCCACCAAGGTGAGTGATCACCATCCCCCGTGCAGCTGGGGGATAAACAACCCCACAGGAGCACACTGAGAAGAACAGGAGGGAACGTGTCTCCTGCTCCTAGGCATGTCCTTGCAGATCTGGGGCTGGCAACCAGGGACCTCGGTGCCCTGTCCCCTGGGCAATCATTGCACCGCGCTCCCCGGCACTGGGGCTGCTGGTTCATGCACGAGCCAGAGTATCCTGGCAGCAGACACCCATCCTCTTTCCTCTCCCCCACAGTTCATTCCATAAGGTACCGCAGCCACGTAGAGCCATCACTATTTTTAAATCCCCCTCTCCATCATTTGTGACTGCGTCTGTGACTTCCGAAATCCGTCACACGAGCAGAGAACAGACTCATGCCTTGGCTGGCACCCACTTCCAACAACTGCCCCTGCAGCAGCCACGTGGGAAGGCACTGCTGGCTTGTGCCAAGGTGGGGGCACCCCCTGTATAGACTTTAGGGTGAGGGGGCAGGGGGCTGTTTTATCCCTGTGGGTGCTGAGAGCTCGGGGTCTGGCCACAAGCAGCCGTGAGAGTGACTCCCCCCTCGCTCGCTCCCCTGCCGTCCTCTCCCAATTCCTGCCCTTTAATAAGGTAATAAATTACTGCTTCTGGCAGGGATGAGGTTGGTCAGCATTTAGGAAGATTTCATTTCCAGTATTTGAAAAGGTGGTCGTTCTGACCCGACAGCCCTCCGCAGGGAGCACTTGGGTAATACCCAGGGCTTGATTTATGGTGTTAAATTGGCAGCCCAAGAACTGCTCCTGTAATTTATTACCCAGCCCTCACCAGAAAGCCTCTCTCTCTTTCTCACCCCTCCCCTCTCCTGCTCTGTCTCTCTTTCTCCTTATTTTTTTTAAGAGGGAACAGCTGACAGCTGAAAGCTAAATCTAACATTTACACATGACTTCATTACCCCACTATAATAAATGACTCAAAGCGGTGAAACCCATCAAAACTGGGGCTTTGGCACCAGCCACCAAAAGCAATTGGGCCTGATTCCCTCCCTCCCCATCACCCTGTCTCCTCCTTGACCACGGTGCAGTGTGTTTTCAGCTTCCTCGTAGGACCAACCCATTGTGTGCTGCATCCCACCCTAAAAAATCAGTGCTTTCCTGGGGCTGACTACATCAAGCACAACTCGGATGCAGGAGGTGTGTGGAGACCAGCTCCATGAGGAGCACACCACATGAGGCATCAGCAGGTCTGGATGGGTTCACTTCTGGACTTTTTGTCACCTTGAGCTGTTTCTCACACGTAGGAATGTTTGCCTGAATAAGAGACCTGAGAACATATCAGGAAGCAAGGACAACACGGTGATTTTTAGCAAAACCCAGAAGATCATGGAAGTGTGGTGGAGCAAGTAATGAAAATGGGAAGGTGGAGAAGATCAAGGGAAGTGGTGGCAAAGGAGTGAGCAGGTTGTGCAGGGGAGAAGTGAGAGGTGGGTGAAGAAAGCTATGGAGGGGAGGGGAAAGGTGAAATGGTGAGAAGGGAGGAGAGGAAAAGAAGAGCTTGCCAGCAGGGATGTGTAGGTATGTGCTGGGGAGTCCACCTCTTGCCTAGGTTAGGGCCAAGTCATGGTTACCCACCACAGGGGATTGCCTCGAGGGCTGGTCATGGTCAATCATTGTCACTCCCCTCTTGCTGTAGCTGGGAAAGGCAAGCTGGAGTGGGAACCAGTCTGAGGGAAACTCCATGGGTTGCTGGGTTGGCCTTTGGATGGACAACATCCCCATGTTGACCCCATTGGCACCTGCACAAGCAAAAGGGCAGGGACAAGCTGGGGAAGGGGCAATAGAGATGGTTTATGGTAAACAAAGGTGACCATGGAGCTGTGGCCTTAGGGAGATGACAGTTATCCTTTCTGAGGAGGAGGGTGTTCTGGCCACATGCTCTCCTCCCGAGCACTGTCAGCTGACATAAAAGTCCATCCTGTGAGCAGACCCTGGGCCCTGTGCTTGCTCAGCCTTCCCTGAAAAAAAAAAAAAAACAACAGGGAAAATCAGCTCAGATGTTAAGAAACAATTTCTCAGCATTGGGATGAGTGGAAGGGTTGCCAACTCCTGGCTCTAAGAGCAGGTTAGACAGATACTCATCAGGGCGGGTTGATCCCGGCGAGGAAACGGCGCAGATGATGCCTTTTGGTCCCTTTCCTGCACCAGTGACTGATTTGCTGGAGTTCGTTAACTGTGGTGACAGTCACTACAGACTTTGATTTGCTGCTGAGCTTAGCTTTAATCAATCAGTCTTTGCCGAAAGCGTCTAATGCCGTCGTAGAATTTCATAACTTCTCCACGGCAGGCGTCCAGCGGTGAAGGACCTGTTCTTGGCAGCGCGTCAGCTCTTGATGCGCAGTGGGAGCACCAGATGCTGGAGAAGGTGAGGTGGCTGGTCTGGAGAGCAGCACGGGTAGAGGTCTTCTCTCAGAGCCGGGCACAGCTCAGCCCATGACATCATTACTATATATGCGTGTGTATAGCTAAAGAGGCTCAAATTGCCTCGTCAGGCTTGTTTTTATGGGTTAAATACATGGATACCATGGAGCGTTGTCCAGGAAGGACCAACTCCCTCTGCTCTTCCCTTCTCCTGGAAGGCCGACCACCCCTGGGGAGGAGCTGGGAAGTTTTCCCCGTGCATCCCTGGAGGAGCAGTGGTTTCCTACAGCCTTTCATCCAGTCTTCCCGCTCCGGAGGGAGAGGCATGGGGATGCTGGGATGCCCTCTCGCCTCCTGCCACCACCTCTGCCCTCTGCTGTGGCGCTGGGGTGGCTCTGGTCACCCCTTTCCTGGTGTCCCACCCCCGGGTGCGCAGCCACAGTGGGCTCCCAGCTCTCCCCCCCTTCCCCTTCCAGGCTTGGAGCTCCCAGCCTGGTCTGAAACACCACTCAGCTTTCATAATCAAATAATCCCCGTGTTTATGCCTCGCTGACTGACAGCGCTGCCCCGGACATATCATTATCAGGAATTTACATTCCTGCAGGAACTGCGAAATCCCCTCGCCCCGAATCCAGAGCTTTCCTGTGGCACCAGAGGGAGAGGAAATAATCTGTGATCTTGAGACTTTCAGACCACTGAAGTAAAAACCTCTTCCCCTCCCTTTGTTTGATTTAGCACTTCACAGACTCCCACGAGGGGATTCTTGGTTTCTTACGGGTTTATTTTGTTTTGTCTTAATGTGTTGTGCTTTTATTCCTCGCTCTTCTGAGTGTCAGTCCTTTTGGGCCATTTGCCTCCTGGAGACTTGGGAAAACAGGAAAGGGAGAGCTGGGCTCAGCAGTTGGGACCTGTAGGGTGCTGGGGGGCTCACCAGGGTGCATGGTGGGGGGCAGCACATGCGCTGGAACCTGCCAGGAACACGTGGTGGTGACCATCTAGCCAGGGGACAGGCAGTGTCCTCAGGGCACCCGAGCTGCTCAAATGGGTCAGACCTGAGATCACAGAATGATAGGGGTTGGAAGGGACCTCTGGAGATCATGAAGTCCAACAGCCCCTGCCAGAGCAGGTCCACCTGGAGCAGGTTGCACAGTGGCATCCAGGTGGGTTTTGGGTCCCCCCAGGCCCATTGACCTATTGCTGCAAAATAGTGGATATACCCAGAACTTTTGGGCAAAACAGAGCTTCTCTCCACCAGAAACAGGAAGGACATCATCTTAGGCAACAGGTCTTGTCCATTCTTGTCACAAGACGGAGCTGGTGGTAGAACACCGGACTCCTGGCTCCTGGTCTCCTCTTTGCATTGCCCACCCTGCTCTGTCTCCATCTCTGTCTGTCCCCTCCAGGAAGGCACACCTGATCCTGCGGAGGCTGGAGAAGGTCAGCAGTCACTGCTCCACCCTGCTACGCAGTGCCTACATCCAGAGCCGCACCGAGACCATGCCCTACTTGTTCTGCCGCAGCGAAGAAGTCCGGCCGCCCGGCATGGTCTGGTACAGCATCCTAAAGGACACCAAAGTAACGTGTGAGGAGAAGATGGTCTCCATGCTGCGCAACACCTACGGGGAGTCCAAGGGGCGGTGAGGGAAGGTGCAGGCCTGGAGCTGTGGGAGGCCAAGGGACTCCGAGGAGTCGAGAACTCATGATGTGCTGAGTGGCTGGTGGGGTTCGGGGTCGGGTGGTGTTCGGAGGGGGTGGAAGGGGACAGCGAGGCCAAACAGGACTTTCTCACGCAGATGGCAGAGAAACGAGAAATGAGCAAGTTGGACTTTTAATTTCTTTTCCTTTTTTTTTTTTTTTTTTTTTAATTTTTCAAGAGGAGGAGAAAAAAAAAACAAAAAAGAAGAAATTACCTAATTTGACTCAGCATAAAAGCCTTCTCCTTTTTAATCTTTTCTTACTGAATTTCCTGGACTACACGCTCCACAACCCTGGGAGGAAGGAGATACCCGCTGGAGGCCAGGCGGAGGGGAGCTGCTGGGCGCAGGGTGGCCCCCTCCCTGCCTGCCCTGCCTGCCCTGCCGCCGGGCAGGAGCCGTGGGGCAAGGGGCCCCGGTGCCGTGGTGGCCAAGGACGACAAGAGGAGGTGGCACGGGTGGACGGTGACACCGTGCTGCCAGCGAAGGTCCCGGAGGGGGATGCCGGGCAGGTACGAGGACGCTGCAGGCAAGGTGGGCTTTTGTACCACTCCGAGTTGACGGAGCAGCTCCGGGCACAGCCTTGGTTGGCAAGGCTCCCGGCAGCTTGTTCTGTGCATTAAAGAGTCATATCAAGTCCATCTTCGCTGCCTCCTTGGTGTTTCTTCCTCCATCTCAGCACCACTTGGGTGTTCCTAGGGTTTAACGCCCACCACGGATGGCTGTCCCCATGCTGGGACGGGGTTGAGATGAGGAGGCCGTGTCCAGAAACCGGTGTTGACCCCAAGAGCTGGACATGAGGAGAGGAGGGGAAAGTGCAGCCTCTTTGTGTAGGGTCCTCTCCCTCCCCAACACCCAGCCCGGCCACCGGCCCCGGTGGGAGCCGGAGACGTGTGGGAAAGCCCAAGAAGGAAGCCAGGGGCTAAAAAAGACATGGAGAATCTGGTTTCTTTTACTGTCAGATGTGGGTTAGGCTGGCCCGGGATCCCTGTGGGTAATGGATTTCTCAGCCTGGTCGCCAAACCAAGGAGTGCGGGAGGGTGAGAGGGGAAATAAAAAAAAAAAAAACGAAAAAACAAAAAAACACACCACCAACAAAAATCAGATCAGCTCAAAGCTATTGCTTTTTCTTTTTTTAAAGCAAAACAATGAACCTGGAGGGGGGAAAGGGAACAGTGTGGGTTGAATGAATCGGTTTAGTCAGCCCAAAGCAAATAGTTTTGTTTAGTTTTTTCAGGTTATTTAACCCTTTAATGTAAAAGCAAACAAGCAGGAGGTGAATTTCAAAATGAAAATGTTTTGAAACCAAACAAAGGCGCAGGATTTCATGTGGAGGAAGTTCAGCCAGAGACTGTTTTTCTTCTTGAGCTAAACCTATTTGCCTGATTTGCACCCACTGAAATAATTATGATTGTTTCACCCAAACTGCTCTTTCCATTCCCCCCCCCCGTCCCTTGGCTATGTCTCTTCATTTGTCATGAACCACGATGCTCTTGTACATTCAGAAGAACCTCCAGTACCTGCTCAAAGTCCTGCTGGAGCTCACAGAAAACTTTGCCTTGATGTAATAGCCTGTGGCGCAATCGCCAAAGCGTTGAAGGTTGCCTGAGGTCTTCATTTTTAAGCTAAATCCCTTTTTCTGATGGGGAGGATGGTGGCACTGAGGGATCTGGGCTATGGCCACTGTGTCACGAGAGCCATGGAGCTACCACGATGCCATGTGTGTTAAATGCCCATTAGCCATCCTGTTGCCCATCAGAGGTGGCTGGTGGCCATGGGGTTTGGTTGTGGGCATGAAGGAGGTGACTGTGACTTGCAGAAGAAGGTAGACTTTGCATGAACTTGGCTGGAGGTGCCAAGCCCTGTCTTGGCTCTGAGCGCCCATCCAGCACCCGGGCACCAGCCAGGATGGGAGCTCATGGGTCTCCCACCTCACGAAACGGGAGATGCCGGTGCGGAAGGAGGTGAGGTGATATTTGTTCAGCTCTGCTGTTGTGTAAAACAAAACACAACACAACCCTTGATGTGCAGTGCCCAGACTGGTGCTTCTTGGCACCACAGTTTTACACGGAGCCCCTCGTTTCGTGTCCCACCACAACACATACTGCTGGGATATGTCTGTGTTGTGTACCTGCACTGCTTGGGGGGGGGTGGGGGTGTGGAAAACCCCCCAAAACTCTCTCTGCAGCCACAGATGGAGATTGATGGGGACTGATCCTTCCTTCCTGGCAGCTGCAGAGAGGACAGATCCCCCCGGTCACACGCCAGGGCCACCAGCAACCACACGGAGCCCAGCTGGTCCCAGGCTGCTGGAGGCACCTCCGGGGGCTTTGAAGCCACCTTGTTTTCTCCAGGCTCTGGCCGTGCCTTTCCCTGTGTTTTACAAACAGGGCGGTTTGTTTTGTTTTTTTTTTGTTTGTTTTTGCTCCCGAGATGATTCATTTCTCTTGAAAGCCCCGTGCTGCCATGGGGAGCTGCTCTGCGGTTGCGCTGCGGGCCAGGGCCGGTGTTGACCCAACCTGAGGGACAAATCCCTTGTGTTCTCTGTAACGTGGCGGAGGGAGCGGAGGCGGTGTGAGGTGTGACGGGGCTAACGCTGCTCCCGGGATTCCTGCCCTCCGCGGGTGTGCTGCTGGGCATGAGGAACAGGAGATGCCAGCCAAAACACCGGGCAGCTGGCTGGTTGCCCTTCAGCATGTTTTTCTCCACTCTGATATTCTGGGGTGTCCCCCCACCACCACCCAGTGGCATTTTGTGCCCCTGGGACACCCATCCCAGCTGCCTCCCCTGACAGAGCTCAGGGGGAAGGGGCAAACCCCACAGTGTGGGGCTGTTTGGCTGCAGGTGGGGATGGAAAGGAGACCTTCAGCTCCTGCAGCCCTCGTTGCTGCAGGGACCAGGGGCTTCATCCTCACTGCTTACCTTGGAAAGCTGCTGGAGAGCCTCACGTCGCATCCTTGGTGGGGCGGGCTGGTGCGTACGGGTAGGTGTACAGAGCGAGCTGTGTGTCAGGCTGTGTTAATATGTACACAGCAGGTGGAAGAGTCTAGACTCCCGGGGTTTGACGGCTGTTAACCCCTCGAGAAGCTCACCTAGCTCCCAGATCAAAGCCAGAAGAGCCTCTGGCCGGGGATGCTACCCCGGCACAGCCGTACCCAAGCCAAACAAAACCAAGGAATTTGTCGAGGTTACACATCCTTCGGCGCACAGCTGAAAGGAAGGGTCTGTATTTTCTCCCTGGAAACTTTGGAGGCTGTAACCCTCCGGCTTTCAAGATAAACAGTTGTAGTCACAGCCTTGCAATGCTGGCAGAGGGACCCGTGCCCTGTAGTGTGTGCACGCACACACACACACACATCCCCCTGCTTTTCCTCTGGCTCCCGCAGGGAAAAGGCATCCTTGCTCCAAAGCAAGTCCCTGCTGGCCCAGGAGCTGGTTCCTCTTGCCAACCCCTGACTTTACTGTGCCACTGGCCGGGCTTTGGCAGACCAGGGGCCAACGCTGTCCTGGGAAAAGCACCAAGGGGTGGATGAAATAGGAAAAGGGAGAGGAGGAAAAAAGATGCCATCATCCAGGTTTAATAGATAAACTACCCACATCCATTTGCCAAGGTGAAATGGTTTGCCTGATGGCATGAAGCAGGGAAAAGTGACGTGGCATCAGTGGCTGCTGGATGGTAGTTGGCAGCTTTGGGATGAGTTCAGGTCAAAAGGAGGAACCTTCTCCATGTCCCTCTGCAGGGAGTTCATGTGCAGGTGATGGCATCGATGGGGCAGTTATGGGTTCCTGCTGGGCATCTGCTGCTCCCTGTGCAGCCTGGCCCTGCTCCCACCATCCCTGTGCCCCCCAGCATCCCCCAAACTCCAGCTCGGCACTGGGAGGTGGGTCCTTGGTTTCACTTCTCCTTTCAACCAACACATTCACTGCCACTTTCAGCATCCCCTGAATACCCCAGCGGGCACACACCCTTCTTGAAGGTGTGTGGCACCCCAAATCTGCCATTGGCTTGGCAGCTGGGAGCTGGTGACAGCAGCAGGTCCCCTCCCAGGGCTGCGTGAGGCTGTCCCCTCCCGAGGAGCAGAGCTGCCCAGAACAATCCCTATTGTCCCCACGGCCATTGTTCCCCACCACCCTCCTCCCCGGCTGGCACGGGGCACAGAGGGGCTGATTGTTGGGGTTGCTGTGCTGCTGGGGACACACTGCTTTGGGACAGCTGCTTCCCACGGCAAAAGCCTCCGGAGTCAAGTGCTGTGTTTGCTCCCTTTTTTATTTGTGTGGTTTCTGCTTTTCCTCTATATTTTATTTTATTTTTTTAATGAATTTTTGCTTGGTTGGATGAGGCTGGGGAAGAAGCCAAGGGAGTGCCCAGCACAGGCAGCCCAGGTCCTCTCCATCACGGGGACAGGTGCCAGGGATGGACAAAGCCTGGCCGTGACAATGCCCTGTGGTGTGACAGACACCTGCCAGCTCACACCTTGTCTCGCTGGGAGGTTGGAAGCTGCACGTTGTACCTGCTGGGCCAGAGGCAGGATTAGCTCTCCCCAAGCTGAGCATCATCAATGGGGATTAATTTGGGCACTGCAAGATGCAAAGAAAAAAGGTTTCTGGTTGTTGTTTCTTGTTTTCTAAACACACATAGCCTGTTTTCCTCCCCTGGTGTTGGTGGCTGTGACATTAAGCCCCAGGAGGGACATGGTTATGAAGTGGGGGGACATGCCATTCCCAGTGCCGGGCTGGGACTGGGG